CTCGAGCCCTATACAGGCGGCATCCCCTGTCCAGGCCCGGGGCCCCTCTTTGCAAGATATTTGCAAGATCTTTTCAAGATGGAGTCTTCTCCCCCTTTCTTCTTCTTCTTCTTTCATTTGAGGCCTTCCCCTGGGCCCTTGTATAGGCGGCATCTCCTGTCCAGGCCCGGGGCCCCTCTCTGTAAGAAGGAGATTTCTTCTTCTTCTCAAGCTGAGGCCTTCCCCTGGGCATGTATGGGTGGTATCCCCCATATTAGCCCAGGGTCCCTCACTGAGTAAGAGTCCTCTCCTCATTATTCAAGAGATCCTGCAGAGGTCCAATGTTATTCGGTGGGTGATTGAGGTTGGATAGACCGTTGTAAGAAGGGAGGTTGAAATGACGGGCATAAATCTGACATCGGGTAGGACTCTGACAACGAACAGAAATCCGACGAAGGGTGGAAATTTGGCATCGAGTAGAAGTCTGATGATGTGCATAAATTCAACGTCCGGTAGAGTTCTAATGTCATGGAGAAGTGCGGCGATGTATATAAATTCAACGTCGGGTAGAAGCCTAACGAAAGTCCATCGACGGGCAGAAGTCCCACGACGGGTAGTAGTCTGACGACATGCAGAAGTTTGATGACTGGTAGAAGAACTACATCGGGTAGAAGATCGATGAAATTCATTGACGGGTAGAAGTCCGACGACAGGCAGAAGTCCGACGTCAAGTAGAAGTAAAGCATTAGGTAGAAGATCGACGAAAGTCAATTGACGGGCAGAAGTCCGACGACGGGTAGTAGTCCAACGATGGGAGGAAGCTCTGCGTCGAGCTGAATCCCAACGAAAGTCCGACGACGGGGAGAATTCCGACGTCGTGTAGAAGTCCAACGACGGGAGGAAGCTCTGCGTCGGGCAGAATCCCAACGAATGTCTGGCGATGGGAAGAATTCCAGTGTCGTGTAGAAGTCCAGTGACGGGAGGAAGCTCTGCATCAGGTAGAATCCCAACGAAAGTCCGACGACTGGGAGAATTCTGGCGTCATGTAGAAGTCCAACGACGGGAGGAAGCTCTACATAGGGCAGAAGTCCGATGAAAGTTTTGCTAGGAAGAATTCCGGTAACGGGAAGAAGCTTGGCGTTGGACAAAACTCTGACAACGGGCAGAAACCCAACGATATTTTTGCGACATTAACCTATATGAAAGAGGTTAAAATAATTCACCAATGAAGCATGATCTATTCGAGGTTGCATGTCAAAGCCCTGCTCGATGACGTTGACCAGTGTGAAAGAGGTCGAGAGAATCCACCAAGGATGTAAAACCTATCCGAAGTTGTATATCAGAGCCTTTGCTCGATGACGTTAACCTGTATGGAAGAGGTCAAGAGAATCCACCATGTGGAAGAAGTCGAGAGAAACTCATTCATCGAGGTGGGCTTGATTTCTCATCACCAGCATCAATCCATTCACTGCACCTTAGAGAATGTTGGATCCATGTTTCTCCATAGATGATACCCAAACTTATTAGAGGCTAACTCAATGAGCAGAAAATCTGATACCTATGTGAGAATGGAGAGAAATGAATAGTTAAAGAAAGTTGTAAGAAAAGTACTCAAAAGCTCAGTTAAGCCAAGGTCAATCAATAGATCATCCAGAGAATATCAAATGCTCAAGATAAAGATAAAAATCTAATGTGCTCCTCTCTAAAATTTATTTATAGACTTTTGAGGGCTACAAAAAAGGTTGAATCCACAAATGAAAAAAGAGCAAGGCTATATTCATCCTAATTGACTGTGAAATAATTAAAAGCTCCAATGTGAAGATGATCTCTCTCTAAGTGAACATAATAGTGCCAATTGTGCACTAAATGGGTTTGGTATCGCCAAATATATACTAATGAGTTCAGTATCGCCAAGATGGAGGGCGAGTTTGTGAGCAAGTTCTGAGCAAATGACACTCAATGGCTATGCATTGTCTAGGAGCTTTTTGGTGACCTGTGTTGAGCCTTAGATCGCTTAAAAGAGAAAGCAAATGAATTGAGGATGCAAAGAACATGAACTGAGAAGTTGGCTTGTCATGGTTGGCCGAGCCGAGGGCTCTCTAAATAGGCACTTTCATATAGTCGAACTTGGGTGAGTGGGGGTTGAAGGCGTTTACCCTCGGCGAGGTTGCGTCATTGTGATGCATGCCTTTCTTCCCTGTGGTGAGTGGCAAATTATTTTGTTGAGATCTTCCATAGCCCATCTACGCAGGCCAAAGCAAATAAGTCAAGTATTCCTTCGAGAAATTCATCCATGAGGCCCATTGGATGCGAGTCCTCTCATAGTAGCCCATAGACTACGAATAATATACACGTAAAAGCATATGCGTGTATATAGATATTAAAGAATTTCATCCCTTAAGAATATAGAAATTTAATAACTTTATTCTCTAATTATCATGAAAATTAGACAAATCGCACTCCATGATGCTACATGGCATGTATTTAAATGATTAATAAAAACATAATTGACCGCAATTAATATTTTATAAAACATGACAAATATCAGAGATATAACTATATCATTTTCATCCATCAGATGTGTAACTTATGAAAACGAAACCACATCAAATATTTTAATGCAAATTACCAACAATAACAATTATCCAAAATTAACAACAAAAATAACTTCCATTCAAACATAAGAATTAATCTTACAATTACAATATTTTAAAATAAATATTAATTTCAATGAATTTTTGTTCACCTCCGAGCAAATGTGCCATTTTCTTTATTTATTTGTTCAGTGCGTATGCAGATTGTAACCTACTCTACTAACGGCATTCAGCTCAACTGAACTAAAAATAAGACAACTTTATTTGAATTAGCTGCTTTCAAATTGAACGAATCCTAAACTGTAAGAATACAAGAATTACGTTGTTAATTTTGTTATGATTAGCAAAAATAAGCTTGGAGATCAATTTTTATATTTATTTTCAAGATTGATACTAGTACTTATTAAGTATGCCTCAAGCATTCGAACTGTGGTTTGAACGAATGGAAACTGAGAAGCCATTTTATTTGGTTGGGAAATAACATTTAACACTTGGGCAGCACGAAAAATTTGATGTCGACAAGCATGCAGCAACAACAACAACAACATCAAACCTTTATACCACTATATGTAGTCGGCTAGATGAATCTTTTTTCTCTATTGTGTAAGATTAATAGTCAAATTCTCATTTAGATCTAATAAAGAAAAGTCATTTCTAATATTTTCTAACCAAATCTTTTTAGGTCAAACCTCTACCTTTTTTAATATAGGTTTAATCTAATACATCTACTCTCCTAACCGGATCATTAGAAGGCCGCCATTCTATGTGACCAAACAATCTAAGGCGACTCTCTCTAATCTTATCTGCCACTAGAGCTACTCCGACCTTTTCATGTATATGCTCATTTTATATTCTATCTCTAAGAGTAAAGCCACTCATCCACCTGAGCATCCTCATCTCTGCAACACAACTTAATATTATGCTTCTTTTTTAACGGCCAACATTCTGTGCCATAAAACATTACATATCTAACCACCATCTTATAGAATTTTCCCTTAAGTTTGAGTGGTACTTTTCTATCACACAACAAGGCCGATGCATTCCTCCACTTCATCAATCTAACTTGAATTCTACTAATAATATCCCCATCTATTTCACCATCACTTTGAACAATAAACCCAAAATATCTAAAACATATACTCTTATTAATGACTTGATCGCTCAAAGGCAAACCCCCCCTCCCCCTTGGAACCATTACTATTAAAACTATATTCAATGTATTCAATTTTAAATATACTCAAACGAAAACCTTTAGACTCTAAGGTTGACCTCCATAATTCTAGTTTACCTTCAACTCCTTTAGTATTATCAATAAGAAGAATATCCTCAGCAAAAAGCATACACCATAGAACATCCTCTTACAAATCTCTAGTAATAACATCCATGACTAAAGCAAAAAGATATGGGCTTAAAGCCAATCCTTAATATAATCCAACTAAAATGGGAAAACACTTTTTCAAACCACCATGTTTGAACAAGTAACAACTCCACCATACATATCCCTAATGACTTGAAATTAAGCATTATTAATCCCTTTCTCTTTTAGAACTATCCATATCACTTCTCTTGGAACTTTATCATATGCTTTCTATAGATCAATAAATATTATATGAAGATATTCCTTTTTCTCTCTATACTTCTCCATCAAACCTCTCAATAAATGTATAGCTTCCATAGTAGATCTACCTGGCATGAATCCAAATTGATTTCTCCAAATTGATTTTGAGAAACATTAGTATCACATCTTAACCTATGCTCTATAACTCTCTCCCATAATTTTTTAGTATGACACATCAACTTAATTTTTCTATAATTTGCACAATCTTGTGCATCACATTTAATCTTAAAGATAAGCTTGGTCCCAAGTCCTGAATGAGAAAAGTGAAGAGTTGTGTTAGATAGTTGACAACCAGCATAAAACTTGTCAAATAATCATGACATGAATCCTCTAATATATTGTGATCTTGACAAGCATGCAACCAAATTAATTTCACTCAACACAAAAACACAAATTAGACCCGAAAGGCTCGTTCGTTGATGGAATTCACATTACGAAAAATTGGACATTAAAGCTGTAGCAATATCGATGTACTGTAAAGCAGAAATCTCTATCTATGAAATTCTGTAGGTGTATCTTTTGTACAAAGCAGCGATGTCTGCTAATTTAGATAAAATACACCGGGATAAGAGAGAAATAACTAGCTACACATCGAGAAGTAAATCAAAATTTAGACCAAATGCCCGCTCCTACTTCAGAGCTTGCTGGAAAAAAAATTGCAATTCAACACTAAATAGAGCACTAAAGTCTACAAAATACTTCTCAAAGCAAGCAAAATCTAGATTGATTTTCTAAGCCCATGCATTTTGCGTTAAGATAAAAAAAAAAAAGAAGAAGACAACTTAATATACATGAATTAGGAGGGACGATAATAGGGAGCAACAGCTGAATTTTGTAAAGAGATGCAAATAGAAGGATTATTCGTATACATCAAATGCTCTATATCTGAATCTATTTAATAGGCGGGTTCACATTTTATGCCAGTAGAAAACGTAACAACTTCAGCCAGCAGAAATAACTAGATAAATAAAAGTCTCTTATCATATTAATAAGAATAGAATTTGGAATCAGAAAACAAAGCAGAAAAGATTAGTTGCAGCAGCATTCAAAAGGCTAAGCATGTGGAGGCCATAGCTTTGGATCATGGGTTGTGTCAAGAAAAGCAGGAGGTAGCCATTGCCACATGGCCAAGCAAGGGAATGCATTTAAGGGAGCCACTTCTTTGGCAGGGGCTTCACCATGAGCCTTATAAATAGCAGGGCCAGAAGCAGGATGCACTGCAATTGTAGGTGGCATAAGTCCTGCTGTTGGAGTGCCCGTGGTCTTCACCTGTAGCTCCAGTTTCTCCTTTTCCAACTTCAACCCCAACTTGTCGTCTCGAAGCTCATTCTTCTCTACCTGCAGTTTAAGAGTAAATACACGTTAACGGATTTTACATGCCCGCTAAAATAGAATGTCAACCAAGCAAATTGTGACATTAATTATTCTTTTAAAAAGATTTTAGAAAACCATCTAGTTCATGATAGAATTATCCTGAAAATTAACAGAATATCTGATTATTTAAAAAGAAAAAGAAAAAAAAAGTAGTAAAAACTGTTCCACCAATTTGTTTTACTTCCTCTCCCTGATAACTACGTTATGCTAACAAAATGATCTAGAAAATCAAAATAGGTTGATTAAGGCTACGTTTGGAACAGCTTTCTTACTGTTTCTTAAAGTAGCTTTATAATACAAAAATTAAATTTTTTTGTACTAAAAATTTGTTTTAAAAAGCAGTAAATAAGCCGTCCCAAATGAACCCTAAGTGTATGTCCTGTTGGCCACATTTTTAGATGAGGTCAATATCTCTTTCCCCAAAGTTATTCCTAGCACCAAGGCTTTCTTACATTGGAATAGAAATTATCTTTGGGATTCCCCTAGGAGGATACCAAAGGATTACATTGGGCTAGCCCTAAAAAGCCCCCAAACACTTTGAACACAACTTAGGGGTCATAGAAAAATGGCACTCTCGTCTAAAATTCAATCCTTGGGTAAACTCTTAGGTCAAGACCCATAATTATCTGAAATTACCAAATTGCCCCTAAGCTTACCCTAATAACTCGAGCTTGACATGGTAGCCACGTCATTGACCTTAATTAACAAAAAATTATATTCAGATCATTTAGAGTGAATATTGATCCTTGGTCAACCTTGGGCTAACCAAAACTATACCCTAATCTTTGAACAAACTTGGATCAAACCTATTTTTTTGACCCAGGGTTCATGTCGAATTGATCCAAAATCCCTCAAAGACCAATTTGACTCTAGACCCACGGTATACCCCAATTAACCATAGGTTGACATAAAAACTCAAAATTATCAATTCTATGTTTTTTTTGGAGCTAGCAGCCTTCCCTAGAGCCTTAGGTTGCTTCCAAACTTCCCCAACCCATTCCATGATCATCCTAGCTAGGGGTGTAAACCAGTGGAGTCGAGCTCGAGTAAGGCCTAACTTGACCTCGGTTCACCGGCCAAATCAGGAGCTCGAACTCGAGCTTAAAAGGCGAGATCGAGCTCAGCTCCTACAATAAACACAACTCACGATCTTACCTCAAAAGAACCGGTTGAACGCTGATGGGATCAAAGCCGGAGAAGAAAAGCTGATTTTGCATTTTCTTTCCGTGAAGTTTTCCTGTGGAGCGTCGACGCACACAATCGAAGAAGACATTTTTTGCTATGAAGGAAGACATTGAAGCTGAAATATTGACTTACTTCATTGCTTTCCCAAAAATAAAAATTATTTAATTGAAGTAATTCATGCTTCAGGTTTTTTGTCCTAGGGAATATATACTAATATTTTATAGTTGCTTCAGTTTTTTTTTTTTTTTTCCGGAACCAAAGCTTTAACTATTAATATTATTAAACCTTAAATTTAATGAAAACAATAATTATTTAAAAAAATCCTTACATACATTCGATTTAGCTCGCGAGTGGAGCCTTTTCAAGCTCGAGTTTAAGTGAACTCGACTCACGACCTCCTTATCGAGCCGAGTTTGAACCGACTCGTCTCACTTATACCCCTAATCCTAGCTATGACCCAACCAATGGTCAACCATGGTTAAAAAAAAAAATAGTCAAACATGGTTGACCATGATTGGCTTAATATACCTAAATACTTGTCAAAGGCCATATCTCAAATTTCCTATATTTCAACTCAATTACCTCAAAACTTTTGCCTTAGGCTTTGGCCATAGGTCATTTAAGGTTAATTGAAGTTGACCTAAAGAGCTTAAATCTGAAACCAAGCTTAACTAAGCCCAACCAGTCCAACCTAGTGTTTCCTTATGGTTTTTTGAACCTTATAGAACCCATTCTAAGTAAACAAGCCAACTAGCTTTTCCTGAGCAAGCAACTCAACCTCGGCTCAATCCTAGGCATGTGTTTCAAGTGCTAGAATGACCTATCCAGTTTGCCTTGGCGTTGAGTCGTTCTGGACATGCGGCAACATCCTAAAGGTTAATCTCAAATTAACTTTGTGATAGGTTACTACTAGTAATAACATCAAATAAATTACCTTAATGAACAATCAAAAAATAAGTAGAAGATCCAATGCTACAAATAATAATTTTGTCAAGAATATAGTGCCATCAGCATTGTTCAGCCTTTAATAACAAATGCATATTTATAATACTTGTATTATTTATTTTAATATAAATTTGTTAAGCCTAGAAAATTAATAATATTTATATAATTTTTAATAGCTTTGAATTAACATTATATATATCAATTTGAATAAAATAATGATTATAAATTATTTTTCATTTTAGTAATTCTCGATTATTATTTCTTTATTACTAATTCTAATTATTAGTTCGCTACATTTCCAACTTTCGTCATTTAGATATGGTCACAAAATGATAAAAAATTAAAATTTTAAAAATTCATTTATATATTGGTGCATTTCACAAAATGAATGTTTTTTTATAAATTTTTTATTAATTATTAATAATCTTTTAACTCGTTAAATTTTAAAAGCGATAAAACATTCATTTTTATTACTAATTAATTATAATATAGTCTCCTAATTCATTTATTTTTATTACTAATTAATTATATTCTACTATCTTTATTCATTATTTTTTATTACTAACTAATTCTATTCTAATTTCTTAATTCTTTAAATTTACCTAACTAATTAATTATAATCTTAACTTGCTTATTTTTAATTAATAATTAATTACAATTTAGTGTGATAATTCATTAAATTTTAGGTTTTATAAAAAATGCAAAACGGAGCAACTTGAATGCATAAAACTATTTAGTGCATTAAATGGAATATGTTGAACAGTTGGATGCATTCCTTTGAATGCGCCAAATAGTTTGGTGAGTTCTCTCCTTTTAAAAATTTTAATATTTCATGCTCCTGTTAATTCCGAAGGGGTGGATGCATTCCTTTTTACACCACTCCTTTAAAAAAGCCCATTTTGCTAAACAAAGTCCAAGTTATTGCATTATAATACTTATATAATTTTTAAGTTTTGAACCTGATTCTATATTATAAGACCTCATCTTTCAAGCATTTTTTTTCAATTTTGCGATTGATAATATAAATCTTAAATTTCTAATCTATAATGCACCGATACAACTATTTATGTAGGTGTGTTGTATCGATACATGCCAATACGGCTCGGATACGTGTCCAATATGGAAAAAATGTATCCATTAAAATAATATTTAAATTGAAAAGGATACGCATACATGTAACCTATTAAATAATTTATATATATATATATATATATATATATATATATTACATAAATAAACATCCTGCCGTATTCAGTATTCATTTCCACAAGCAGCGCTAGGGCTTTCGATTACGCCTTCGTGTCTCTTCATTTGCAAAAGCAGTTGATGCTAAGGGTAGGCCAAACGAGCGGGCGTCTTCGGTCGTCTGCTTCGTCTTCTTCGTTTGTGGGAGCAGTTGACGAAGGAGCATCATGCGAGGATCAAGACGAAAAAAGCAAACATACGCTTGTAGGCAAGGAGGGCGAAGGAGCATGCATCATTATTTGAAGGTAAACTTTCGTGGCTTCTTCATTTTCTCGGGCCGAAGGAGCGTCCGTCTGTGTTTTTTATTTCGAGTGTTTTGAACGTCCATCCTCCTCCGTGCAGTTGTCGAATGAAAGGAGGGCTACAAATCAGGGTCCAACTATCGTGAGGTTAACGACAAGCAAGATAAAAGCAAAAGGTAAACAATGTCCGTCCTCCATGCAAATTTCCAGAGTTTAAGCATTTTATTGATTGGACTTCTTATTACTTAATATTTTCTTTGAATCTATTTCATCATTTTATTTTTATTTTGGGTTAAATTTTTTGTTGTGCTTTCTAAATTTATTGTGTTTTTAATGGAGAAGGAATACATGTTTTTTAGTTACAGAATTTCACTTCCACTCGCATCTAGCTAAGGGTTTATATGTATAAAGCTCATAATTATTGCAACAAATAATCATATATTTAGGCATCCTTGAAACAATGATTTAAGGATGCTAATTTTGGAAGCAATGATATTTGTTGAAAATGTTATGGAAGTCAAAAGACAAATCCCTAAAGAAGCTAATTATACCATTAGAAAATGTTATCGAAATATTATTGTAGAATATCATTAGTATTTCAAGACAGTATGGTTAGTCTCTATGCCAAATTTGATTATAAAAATGACAATGTGCAAAACTTTATTTTTATCTTTTGAGATTGCATAGTATTCTCTATATAGTATTTGACTAAAAAATAGAAGCGTCCAAATTGTAAGATTTATTTTTCCCTCGTGTACTATCAAATTGACTCAAAAAAAGCTTAAATATTCACTCAGATGTAAGGGTCATTTTCATTTCATTTAATAAGAAAAATAAAGCAGGGTGTCGCTCCAAACCTTGAGTTGCTTGATAGTCTCCTGAAGCTTCTTATTTGCCTCTTTAAGTTGTTCAGCTTCACTCTTTAATTGTGCCAATACACGAGCTGCATCACTTAAAATGCCAGCTTTATCAGACTTTGGAAGTTTACCAGGATCAAGGATGGAACTCAATTCCAAGAACCTAATAGAAAAGGTAACACGTAAAAGAAAAGAATCAAGAGGTAGAACCATCACAGGCAAGTGTAGTAGTGATCAACCAGTTTTTTCTAGAGGCAACGGAAAAAAAAAAAAAGGAAAGAGAGCACTTGTTACACGTGAGTAATACCTCTCATTTAATCTATCCCGCCGCATTTTTTCACGACAAGCTTTAGACTTGGAACCACAGCATGCCTCATCTCTTAGTCTGCAAGGTATAAATATAGAGAAACACCCTATATTTATTGTGAAATTTATGCCATAAAAAACTCCAGGTACAAAACGGAAATTCTTTAAAAATTTTACAGATATCATAGTACCAAATAAAACCAAAGGATAATAGTATAAAAGTTATTTAATGCTACATATTATCCATTCAAAACACAGCATGTAAAGTATGCAAAAGAGTAATCCATAAGGTCACAATGGTTAGATTTATATATATATTAAGATCATGAAATACCAATGCAACTTGATTTAGCTTTCAAAGAAAAGGAAGAACAATAAAATGCAACCATATCGCCTCCTCATAAGGAAATTATAGCACCAAAAAGGCCGTGCAGCTTAAAATTGAAGAAAAAAGAATATAAAGCAGAAAATTACAATTAGTACAGTTCTAGGGTATATCTTACATTCTTACTCCATTTGTTTAATGTTATTGGCAATGGAAAGATAATAATCTCGTAAAGCTAACTTTGTAGTCTATAATTTCAATAACATAACACTCAGCAGGAAAACCAGCAAAACAGTAACACTTAGTAATCCAAAAGATGCTAATTGAGGGCAATAGGGAATGAGTTCTTAGAAACTTGGACAATTAACTTAGTTATTATCCATTTAAGCAATCCAGTAGATCAGCATATATTTCCAGACAAGTAAATTTTCAGTAATAGGATTCACGAATAAAATAATCACACCAACGAATAAAGATAATAAGTACAAAAATAAAATTCAAAATAGGATGACATCACAATAAATAAATAGTAATAAGCTTAAATATACAAAACCTAATTATATTATTTTAAAAAATCACACTGATATTTGAAGGTGCAACAATTTAATAGATAATACATTTGTACTCAGTTTCATTAAATAAAGTTGCCACTACTCTCGAAGAATGCCCATGATAATGAAGCCATGGTGGGCATGCCAATTCAGGGTAAGGCTTTTAGTAGATTGTTTCCCACAAACAAAATTTTTATATCTCACATAATTTTGAATGAAAGGAAAAGTGCCGCCGAACTAATCCTAGATTAGTGAGAGTGGTAGAACCAGTTTGTTTCATCTATCATAATAAAAAAAAGATGTGAGAATGAGAAAAAATAAAAGTCACAAAAACTCCAAAAAACAAAGAAATGTAGTTCAGAAAGAGTAAGTTCCTACAAAATAAAAATGATAACTCATTTTAATACGAGTCGCATCCAGAGTTGGGATTCAAACACTTATAAAACTTTTATTGAAACAATATAGCCCATCAAATACAGAAGCCACGATTTTTTTAATAAAGCATAATTAAAATTAAACTCTACCTTTGATTCAAAAACTCTCAAACATCATTCATCCCTAACTCATCCGTAAATGCATAAAAGAAGCTACATGCCAAATATGCACAACAATCTAAATTGAGAGCACAGTAGATCAAATATCAGAATCTAAAGCAAAGAAAGGAGAGAAGTAAAAAAAAAAAAGAGACCTCAACAATTTATCTTCAAGTTCAACCCTCATGACAGCCAACAAGCTAGCATGCATGTCCAACAAGTACTTTTTTTCAGAATATATGAACTTTTCAATCATATAAGAAAAATCACATATAAAGATGGACAAAAAAAAAAACTGTAGTTCAAAGATTAATTCATTCGATCGATCCTTTGTAAAACAAACAACCTTTAAAAAAAGAAGAGAAAGCTGCAAAAAGCTCAATAAATAATCCAGAATTAAAATAAAGGAATTGTCTAGCAGTTACATAAGAATAAAGAGAATAATGAACAGAAAAAAAAAAAAACCTTTTCCAAGACCCGATCTGCTCCAGACCACAGCCATTCCTGTGCACCTCCTTGACACCAGATCTGCAAAAAAATTATCCAAAATAAAGAACACCAGGCAAATACAGAAACCGTTGCGCCAATAAGAGCACCGTCGAACAAACATTTCCAAAGACGAAAGGTAAACTCCAGGGAAACTCCAGACCCCGACGGCATGGCATTGAATCAGACAACATTCCTCCAGAAAGAAACAAGGATTACAAAAGAATTAGGTTTCATAATTATACGTACCCAGAGGCCGGTGGCGGAACATCGCAGAAGCTCTCGAGGGCACAGCGTAGCTCGCAGTCTGATCCACCTCCGGCGTCATCGATCCAGTAATCGGGGATCGTATTGGGTTCCATTCCTGAACCCGGTCGAGATACCCAAATCAGCAGAAGATCTCGGCGGATTTGCAGTTGGATTAGGATTAGGGATAGGGTTTGAAAGAATGGGCGAAGGAAAGAGGAGGGAGGAAAAGACGGCGAAGTTGCGGCTTCGGAAAGGAAAATAATCACAGGAGAAAAGCACGCGCCAAGCGGCTGGAAAGCATGAAAGAGAGGTTATTTATTAGGGAATGCCTATGCACGTCTAAGTACAACCTCTCGCTTGAATTTTAGTTATTTCGAAATTAAATTTGGATAAGCTATTTTATTATAAAAAAGGAAGTATAAAAGATAAAATTGAAATGATATCGAAGTATTATTCTTGTATACAGATTTTATAATAAAAATAAGATGAAAGTTTACTGAAATAGGACCCTCGAATTCTATCAACTTATTTAAAATACTAAAGAGAAACAATATCATAGAAATCAAATTAAAATTAAGGAGGTATTTTGGTTGATTAGTCTTCCAGTAGGAATGGGTTCCGTAAGAATATTTGCACTTGATAAATACTTCTGTTGCAGTCCATGACTCCTAATCTGAGATTTTAATGATGACAAATAATGTCGATTGAATTATTATTCAAAGAATATTTTTGATTTCTGCTATTGTCTGTGATTACTAACATTTCAGGGAGATCATAAATTACTCAGGATAACAAGAAGACTCAAGACTAGGTAGAGTAGGATTTGAAGTTTATAACCTTGTAATTTTTCTTTTATTATTAATTTTCTTTTCTTGAGTGTGGCAACAAATTATATGTAAGACCGAGCAACCATGCACACACACAGGGGAGAGGTTTTTAAAATGAAGAAAACTTTTTCTCTGTCGATCGTATTGTATGAGTTCCAATCGTAATGTACGATAAGATCTGGCTCAACATCTATCTGTAAATAAGTCGTACTGTACGATGCATATCGTATTGTATGATGTGTTTCTAATTACAACTCTAGCCGCTAGATTAATTTAAGTAAGTTCTTAATTCATAAATTTTGAATTAATTGTAATGTACGATATTTTGAATACTAACATAAATTAACCATTACGATTAGTCAGTAAATCAAGGATTAATTTATGATTGGTTATCATACAGTACGACATTGTTCATATTATACGAGCAACTGAGGTTGTTTTTTATCATCCTAAACATCGTACCGGTTGATCCCTTGATTTTGAACTAATCGTATTGTACGAAGTGGTTCGTACCATATGACGTACAATAACGAGTTTTCATCATCCCAACAGTCATCTTGTACGAACATAAGGATTTTACATATTGTACTGGACAATGTTATATCATACTAGACGATGTTATATCATACTGTAAGATATTATTTAGAAATACTACCTGTTCATAATCCTTCGTACCAAGATGAAGGCTATTTAGTATTGATCGTATTGTACGATATTGGTTCGTACTATACGATCATAATGGCTAAATTGAAAATTTTAGGGTTCTTGGAGCCTAATTTAAATATTTAAATTTTTGCCTTTAGAAATTAATCAGTGAGAGAGGAACGTGATTAGAGGGGGATTCCTTGAGAGAGAACTCTTGAGAAGATTTTGGGGTGGTTGAGAGCAAGGAGAAGGTGGGCTTTGTGAGGGAGGAGTATGAGGGAGATCACATAGTTGCTCCTAGATTGTTGCACGTTGCTCCTCCTATGGCCCGAGAAGATCTAATGGGAGGCTCTCTAAGGGCGAGATTCTTCTGCGTCCATGTCCGCTAAGGTATTATGCATTCTCTAGGAGGGAGAAAAATGAGAAGGTTCGCTGCCATCACAAAGAGAGTGATATAGCGTTTGGCACTCCGCCACACTGGGTTGATGAAAGTGGTTTGCAAAGATTTCTCTGCCTTGCTGTGGGGGCAAAAGGAGAATTACTATTTAGTAGTGAAATTCCCATAGTTGAGGACTCCGGGGAGTGGGCATAGGACAAGTGACCGAACCATTATAAATTCTCTGGTGTGATTTTTCCCTTACTGCACTTTATTTATGTTTTGCATTTTATTTTCGTTAAAATTGCTTAGTGAAAATCATTGTGAAATTCTTTGTTGAGCAAGTTAATATTTTATCACCTATTATTGCAAATTGTGTTTTAAGCATTCGCTTCCATATCAATTAATTTTCTTGTTTAAAATTTAAAAACACAAAAAATTAGAACTCCTGTTTAGGATTGTCTTTTTATTACAACGAATTTCCAATTCACCCCCTCCCTCTTGGCATATCTCGTACTTTCAATTGGTATCAAAGCGGGGTTTCAAAAATAATGTTTTAGAAAATCTTGAAAAAATCGATCATGTCTCATTTTGGTAATTGTAATACTGCGGAGGGTTATTCTATAACCCGTCCACCTCTGTTTGATAATATTCTGTTTGATTTCTAAAATTGAATGTATACATTTTTATAGTCTATAGACTATCGTTTGTGGATGTTGGTTCAAGAAGGTTACATCGCACCGTTTAAACTTATGAATGGAGTAAAAACTTAAGTACCTTTTAGTGAATGGAGCAATGAGGATAGGGATCTTGCATAATTAAATGCGAAGTGCTTAAACTGTTTCTTTTGTGCATTAAAATCTAAGGACTACATGAGAGTATCTACCTGTGCTATTGGTAAGGAGATTTGGGATAGACTATGCATCATGTATGAAGAAACTAGTGAGGTTAAATAGTCTAGAATTAATATTCTATTGCATGATTACGAACTCTTCCGTATGAAACCTAATGAAACAATATCTAATATGTACACTAGGTTTACCCAAATTGTGACATCCTTGCATCCATTAAGTAGAGAAATTTATAATTCTAAAAAAGTTAATAAGATTCTTAGATACTTACCGAGTCCCTATAATGCTAAAATTATTGCAATTACTAAATCTAAAAATTTAAACATTTATTCTATTGATAATTTGCTTGGGTCACTCATTGCGTATGAGTAAGGAGTGAGTCAAAGACAAAATGATGGTAAGAGAACAATTTTTAAATAAAGATTTTGCTATCTAAGGTTATGCAATGTAAGTTCAATTTTATAAATTGATTTTAAGATTGATTATTGATATATCATAAAAAGTTATCTTGATCAGGCACAAATCTCAAGGCAAAATTAGGTTTAAAACAGTTGAAATTAAATTTGGGACCATCTAAACTTTGTTTTCCGCAAACTTATAATCAAACTAAATGTCTCGAAAGGACAAAACCAATGACGTAAAATTCGACCCAATACGAGCCCAAATGGGCCCAAATGGAAGACATATTGCACATTTAGAAGGTTCAAACTATATATTAGATGACCAAACAATTTTTCAAAGTGACATGCTTATAATAAAATTGAGCAGATCAACGAGACAAATCTAACTAGCCTAAGAATATTAAATTCTGACATCATTAAAGAACTCAAATACTCAATAAATGTGTCATAATCAAGGGAGTCGAAATCGGTCATATTTTGAATGCATTATTTTAAATGTGTCACTATAAATAACCCCTCATTCTTTACATTAAGGGGAGGAAGCAAGAAGTGTTGAGATAGTTGCAACTTAGTTCTTGATTGTTGATATTCTTACAACAAGTATATTTTTGATAATTCCAAATATAATTACTTTGATTATTATTTCTTCTAACTTATTTTGAATGCATTATTTTATTATTTATGTACTAATATTTTAGGAAAATTATACTCCGGATTGTTGAAAACTTCAAATTAGATCAGTTTAGGATTTATTGTAATTGAAGTTTGTATTTTTGTTTTTATTGAGTCTGAGAGAGTGTGATTGTAATTGAGTAACTATGCACATAAACACCGGGGGAGAGTTTAAAATCTACAATTTTTAAACTGATCGCACTGTATGATGTATTTTTGTATAAGACGGTATGATTAGTTATTTTTTTAAGTATGAATCGTATTGTATGATATATCAATTATACGTACGCTGTCTAGCATATGAATTGGATGGGTCCCATTTCATCCAGATAAACTTGAAAATTTTCTGAACGGTTCATACCGTATGATGTCATCATCATACGTACACCGTCTAGGGTACGAATTGGATGTGTTCCTTTTCATCCAGACGATCTTAAAAAAAATTTGAACGGTTCATACCGTACGATGTCGTCATCGTATGTACACCATCCAAGGTATGAATTGGAAGGGTTCCTTTTCGTCCCGACAAACGTTAAAATTTTCATAACGGGTCATATTATACGATGTCATCATCATAGGTACGCCATACAGTGTATAAAATTGTGGGATCCCTCTTTGTTCCGATGAAGGTAAAAAATTTTCTAACTTTTTGTACCGAACGAACTTGGTTTGTATCGGAAGATCATCATGTACAAAATTATTTTATACTGATTCACATAAGGTTCTTATGCAATAGTTTTTAAACTGTTCATATATATGAACATACTATCGTACTGTATGATCGTGTATGCTCAAAATAGAAAATTTTAATTTTCTAGATAATTTTTTATGTCTTTGATATAAAATGTCATCTAAAACTTACGTGAAAAAGTATTGTCTTCCTGATTTTTCAAGAACAAATGAAAGAGAGAGTGTGGGAGAGTGTTTGAGAGAGATTTCTTGTAATTGGAGTGTGAAGGGTTCACAAGATTACTCAAAGGTAAGGATCTTTTTGTGATTTTGGTGATTAATCTTCTTTTCTTCTTTCTAGTTGCTCGTGAGAAGATCTTTGGAGAAAATCGGGTACTCTATCGATACTTGGAGAGTGTGAAAGGATGACAGTACTCTGTCGACATTTGGAGGGTGTGAAAGGATTACGGTTATCTACCGACACTTTGAGGGTGTGAAAGGAAAATGGTTCTCTGCCAATACTTGGAGTGTGTAAAAGGACAATGGTTCTTTGCCGCACCAAGGATTAGTGGAAGAGAGGTTTTATAAAGACTTCTCTGCCTTATTGTGGGGGAAAAAGGAGAGACACTTTGGTAATAGTATAATACCTGAAGAGGGAGTCTTCATGGATGTAGGTTGTATTTTGATTGAACCGCTATAAATCTTTATGTCTTTTAATTTATGCATTTATTTACTATAAGTTATTTACTATGGTTAAAAAATTTTATTTTGATACTTAAATTAACTTGATTCTAGATTTAAAAAAAATTTATTTACTATAAGTTATTTACTATGGTTAAAAAATTTTATTTTGATACTTAAATTAA